CACCTGTGGTCGTGAGCCATTGGTTGGTGGCCCTGGGGAAGACCCTGGACTCGCTTGATGGTTTGTGTYTCCTCTCTGGCCTGGAGACACCTCAGGGTCCTTCAGGACGAGCTGGGAAGTGTCGCTGAGGACAGGGAGGTTTGGGTTTTTCTCCTGGACCTGTTGCCTCCATGACCTGATTACWGATGGAGTTTTTAAGGAAAACCCGTTTTAGTTACAAGGTCGTTTCTCTGCTTCCTCATCACTCGTTTTCTCCTTTTAGCAGATTTTACAAGGTGGGAGGTCACTGGTAATTATCTGTTCCTGTCAAACGTAGGAGGGTCACCTGTGAGTCTGATTGAGGTTCACATACACACAGCATCATCATCATCATCATCATCATCATCATCACACACACACACTCAGACAGAGGGAAGCAGCAGGCCAACGTGTGCCTTTTCATTATGCCTCTGATTTGGTCATTCATCATGTGACAGCGAGGTCGCACGCGGTGCAGGTACAGTGTGTGTGTGTGTGTGTGTGTGTGTCCAGGTTTATTTGTGCTGTGGGATTTTTTTGTCACCATTTTGATTCTTAAACCAAATGATCATTCTACTTTGGCCTCACAGGGATTTCTTTCTTTCTTTCTTTTTTGTTTTGTTTTTAAAGAAGTAAATAATTCCTTCGGTCCTTGTTTGTGTTTCTAGGCACTAAAAAGATTTCATGTAATTTACTCTCCTTGTGTTCGTCTCTAGGGCACGTCTGACACGTAAAAGTAGAAACATATTAAAGGATTTAGGAATCAAAAAGATCATAATCACACAAATTGACCACCCTCTCACAGTGATGTTCAGGGGTGTAGGTGTTTGTCTTTTTGAACGTTCTCCAGCTCTATAAAAATATTCATAAAATATTTTGCTAACAGACAAATAGAGCTGACTCTAGTAGTCGAAAGCAAAGTTTAAAAGTGGGCCATTTAGTACTTGCAGTGTGTGTAGTGGATGTCTCTCTGCTACAAACGCACCATATATATCCATTTGCTCAGCTGTGTCGGCCATTTTGAATCAAACTGACTCCAAAAGTTAATCAGTTGTACATCTGTCTTCCTCCTCAAAGTACTCTCTTTCTTACATCCTCACTAATAGATTCAGCAAATAAACAAAATTAAAATTTACTCTCAAAATTCTGCATTTCTTCTTGGAGTAATGTTTTCTTCTAATTTTAATTGTGTATCTGAGCTCCAAGTGCATTAATAAGCTGTGTGTTGTTGTTTGAACATCCCCAGAAGATTGCTGAATACGGTTCTTCTCTCGTTTTTTGATGGTCTGATGCACGAGTGGACTGGGTGTGAARGTCCCAGCGTGAGTGTTGGAAGATAGCTATCAGATTTTTTCTGTTCAAAGACACTGTGTGGAAAAAAAAGAAAAAGAAAAACACAGGCAGATCAAAGCTGAGCTGCAGCCTTTGTTCAGTCACCTCAGTGATGCACATCAGTCGGTGAGATGTGAGACAGAAAAATTCATGTTAACTAAAAGGGCAGATGCATGGAAGCTCTGCTGTTAAATCTGTAAGAGACTAAACATTTTAAGAAATCAGTGACATAAGACACTGGGTTCAAGAAAGTTTACATAATGTAAATAACAAAAACAATGAAAATTGAAGTCTGCCTGGTTCTTTTTATTAGATATCCAAGTTTTAGTCATCAACATCATTTCCTGTGTCATGTCGCCACCTAGTGGTTACATTTGTCATTACAGCTCAAAGTTTGTTCACGTCAGAAGTTTGCAATTTGTGGCCCRGTTGAAAGCATCTAAAGCAAATGTAATGATGTGTCTTAGTCTGTTTGTTTTTATTAATTTTATTGACYTTCTCAAATAGTAATCATTAGATATGCATATATATTTTATTAACTTTTGTGGAAACCTTTCAAATTGCAAGTCAACCGGTTAAAAAGACATTTATTGAGGCACTTGACACAAGCCATGGAATGTACATATCAAATACAACAAATATAAGTTCTATTTCTTTTTTCACATTCTTGCATCTGTAAACATAGTGAAGTTATTACATTCTGTCAGATAGTTCATGTTCTGCTCCACAAAAGGAGACGTGTAACGAAATGACCGACACCTCAGTTAGTGCACAACAGCTACACGGAGCTCCAAATACAAAACTAGAACCCTATTACAGCAACTCTTCTTGCGTGAAGAGATTATATATGCAGACAAGCTGTTTGTGTGCTCTTGTTTCACCTGAAATGCATTGGGTTTTTTTTCTGCACAAGCATAGGAGGTAAGTTCAGGCTTCTAAGTCTACTCTGCAGCACAAAAACACTTCTTTACTTCAGTAAATACATGGGTACATGATCGTTTTAACAGGCATAGAGTCTACATGTCTGCTCGGGCAGGAGATGTGCACGTTTAAAACTTATTTTACATAGTTGGAACTCAGTGGTTAATGGGTTAAATTGGTTAATGTGAATTGAGCATGRACTTAATGCTCATTAGTAATTGCAAAAATAATTCAAAGTTTTTGTTGTCATGTTGCCTTGGCTTCCAGAACATGTCTGCGTAGACTCCTTGCTTTGAAGAAAAGACCAAACTGAGGCGTCGTAAGGCTGCGGTTTGGCTACAGTTCATCAACAAACACAGAATAAAGTTTCAATATSAAAGCTACAAACTAAGTAGTGAAAGCGCTTGAACTTCGTGCACCCTGTGTCCCCACCTGGAGCGGCCCCCTTGCTGAAGCTAATCTTCCGGRCTGGACTGTAAGTTAGGGTGTGTGGCTGTAAGGCTGTAGTTAACGGACCACTCCAGCTCAAAAACAGTGTTTGAACACAGATTTTTATTTCTGCCTGTTGGCTTGAAAGCAGTGTTGCGCCAAGTGTAAAATGAAACGTTAAAAACAGTCACTAACATGTTTTCATTATTTAGCTCACTTTCTGAGTTTAAAGTCCTAGCTAAAAATCTAAATGTGTYAATCTAAATGTTGTGACCGAATGATGAAGTAATGGAATAGAACATTGGCTGTGTCCAAAACGGCAGGACGGGTCCTCCGAAGGCCGAATTCGTCGGCCGCATYCGTCACAGCCCCGCGACGAAGGACGTCCCAAACCGAAGACTCCTCCGATGCGGCCGACAAATARGTCCTTCCCTTTCCCCGATTTGAAGGACAGGTCTGATGGATCCTTCCCGGCCCAGCATATCCCATAATGCATTGCGGCCCGACCGGAGATTTGTTTAAGCTAGTAATGGCGGACGAAGCGAGAGAAAAGAAAAAATTTAAAATAAAAATATGGTGATATGGAAATTTTAAAAAATTAGCGGTTGTAATTCTAATACTTTTATCATTTGTATGGACGTGTTTTTACATATTATTTTTGTCGTTAAAAAAAAAGGTGAAATAAACATGCTCCTACAGCGGGTCAATTAGTTCTTCAAATGTTACCTTTAAGTTAATTTTATAGTTTTGTGATATTAATAATGCTAATGTATTGATATTTTTCTAGTTCTGATTTAAGTTTGCTTGTTTAGCGTCGTCACAGTTTGCTAGGTGACCTGACGTACGCCGGGGCAAGGAGGGGAGGCTAGACCGTCCAAATTCACAGCCTCTTTTTTTCCGGTCTTCCCGGTCTACCAAGGACCCGGCCCGCCGCGACCGGGGAGTCTGGGTCCTCCGGAGGACCCGGCCTGTCGTTTTGGACACAGCCATAATAGGCTTTGCTGTTAGCGCTTGGCTCATGTTATGATGTCATCATCCTGAGACAAAAGCAACCGCTGACGCTGCTAACGCTGCTAATGCTGTCAATGCTGGTAACGCTGCTAACGCTGCTAACGCTTCCCTACTGGACATCAAACTTTCAGTTGTGGCCAAAATCTGAGCTGGACTTCAAATTGCCGGACCACAGCTACCATCTATATTGTTTTCAYTGAACTCATTTTGAATTTAAATTTTAAATGCCATTTTCAGCAGKSTTAGCAGCAATAAGCGATAGCCAACCACGATGATAGCGTTGAGCTAAATAATGAAAATTTGTTAGTGACAGTTACTATTTTAATTTTTTTTTTCTTGGCGCCCCCTAGAAAACTGTGCACAGTTTCGTTGTGTGTTTGGTGTTTGTTTGGGAACTGAGAGGTGAGAGAAGTTTATTTCACGAAATGTCACACAAATAAAATAGGCTACAATGGAAATAWATCTGTGCAGTTAAATTTGCCATGCGACTTGTAAATATCATTAAAGTGGTTTAGATGTTTTGAKGTCGGGCTCTGTGATCAATTCTACACAAATGCTATCCTACCTGTGTGCAGATATCTCTTTCAATGTCAGTTTGGAGACTTGATGACCAGAACAAAAATATATTGACCCTGGCCAAGTCTGTGTGACCGAATGTATCTTAAAACCAATTTAATCTCTGTGCAAAGGCTATTTAGCTCAGCATAAATTTGCAATATTTCTGCCTGAACATCTGTCAATATCATCAGTATTGTAACGGTTTATAAAACAATGTTTACATGAAACGGAATTAAGCTAATGATCATTTATGGTTGTTCTAAGACTGTGGTAATGTGCCTTAAAGCTTTGCTTAGGCCAGCCAGTAACTAGCTCATCAATCCATTCAAAATTAAATTCTGGTATCATTCAAAGAGCTATCTGCAACAGGTAAGATATTAATTGTTCKCATTTTTCTACAGAATCTCATAGTGAAAGATCAGAACCAGCGAAAAAGCGATGCACTGGAATGACCAACCACAGCACAGTTTACTGWCAAGAAGAGAATTTGTGCTGCCATTTTGCTAGGCGCTTTCATTACGCACAGCCAGACAGAGGTATATAAAGTACATGAAAGAAATAACTAAGAAAGTAAAACATACTTAAACAGAAAATGAATTAATTTCACCAATAAGAAAAGTACCTAGGTAAAAGTCATAAAACTGCTCACAATAATCGAGAAATTAAAAGTAAAAGTTCACTAAGTTCAGTCATATTTAAATTTGTAATGRGTAACTAGGTGTTCAATTTTAAAGTAAAGAAGTAAAAGTATCATTTTTATGTTTTGAATATAACTAAATAAAAGTAAAAGTTATGATTAAAAAAACTACTTGACAAAGTTACAAAACCACAGAACTYTAATGAAGTAAATGTACTTTTATACACGTCTGCAGCCAGAATGGCTTCAAAATTTTAAAAACTGAGTAAAAACTTAAACTCAGACAATTTTTTTTTTGCCACCAATTGTTGAAGTATCAGAAAATGAACTTTAAGGAATGTAGTACTGGTTCCTGGAGTATTATGAGTATTATCCAATATTAGCTCATAAAGCTTTYAAAATTTTACTTTTAACTTAGCTTGTTTTAACCATTGTGTATGTCAGCACTGTCGGAAAAGAAGCTGTTTAATGCTACTTTGAGGCTCATTTAAGCAAACTCTTGTACCTTGTTTTCACAATATGCAAAATATATATTTGTTTACACAAAATAAAGGTATGTCTGCACCTTTCTGTGCTTTGACATCAGCACCTAGCAAGATGGCAGCCATAAAACTCACTCAGTGCTGTCCGTGTCAATTCCAGTGTATTTCTCTTTCATTGAATTGAACTGTCCCTTGAAAATGTTCAAGAGAGGTAAGCAACAGATCACATCTGCAACAGATGTGCCTGAGGAAACGTTCAAACCAGCAGGCGCTCAGATATTTAATACTTAAAACAGTAAGTCCACCAAAGACCATCAACCATCTCTTTTTTTGTTTCACAGAGTCCCGTTCCGAGTGCTTCGTATTGTTCGATATTTATTTACGTTACATATTTTGCGTCCCACGCTGTGGCACCTGTATGAATCCTGCAGGTTAGCCTGACCCGTTCTGCCGAGTGAGGCTCTCCCAAGGGCAGATGATCTCCTCGGTTCCCACCCCTCCCTCCAAGGCAGGCCTGTTCTCCTCCTCCTCGTCCTCAGACTCGATGGGGTAGATCCGACACTCTGGAGGAATGTCTACTTTTATTTGAAAGAAGCTATAAAAATAAATAGAAATAAAAATGTGGTAAAGAAGATTTCATAGATAGATGTATATTTTATTGTCCCCCCGAAGGGGAACTTTGTCTTGGACATGATGCGCTACACGAAGCTGCTTCCGCAATTAAGTACAAAAAGTCTTAAAGTCATCCTACGTGTTATTTATATGTTTGTTTGTCAATGTATCTCCTGACCCAGAGGACATATTTTAAAGAGATTCTCAGAAAGTAATCACTAAAGGTGCATCTACAACTAATTCACTTTTGGAGTAAAGCCAATTCAAAATGGCCACCAGTGAGGGACAGTTTTCTTGCAGGGGGGGAGGTGTTTGCTGGTGTGACTTACTTGCCAGTTCTCCTGGGTGGAGCCTGACTGGGTTCGTCCGGCGTGATCGGCTGAATGCGGCTACTCGTCGCCGCAGTCGTGTGACATTTCGGCGACAAGCTGGCGAACATGGCCGAAGGGCTGCAGCCTCTCTTCAGCAGGCGGCGCAGGGACAGGGCCACGCGAGACTTTGAGACGTTACCTCCGTCGGGGGCTCGGGCCTCGTTYTTTCGCTCGCCTTCGCCCTCGCTGGCCTCCAGCCGCCGCTCGGAGACCGAGGTGCTGTCCAGGGCCACGCTGATGGGGGAAGGACACACCGGGGTGTGGGCCAGGAAGGGGAGGGACGGGGAGGCGTTGGCGGAGGGAGGGTCGGTGATTCCAGAATAGACAGCGAGGTGAGGGACAGGGGTGGTAAATCTGCAGAGCTGTGAGGTCAAAGGTCAGGAGAGTCAAGTCAGAGGGCATCAAGAGGGGGCACAATTACACTCAAAAAACAGATGTGGTGGATTTAATAATAAAATTATTAACTGTTTATTAAGTTGACACATTTACTTTAAGGTAACATTACATTCACTTAAGTCAATGTAAAGTAAATGTGTTGACGTCATTTTTTTTATTAAATCAATTTGATGTTTTTTGAGTGTACACTTAATACATGCACTAGGGCTATTTTTTTTTAAAGTCCTACATTACCAAAAATATTAATTAATTAAAACCAAAAAGAGACATTCTTTTTACCATGATAGTTTAAATTTTTTTTACATCTGTATGTTTCTAGAAAAACTATTTATTTTACAAAATCAAAAATAACAACGGCTGTTGATCAAAAACAGTACTGTGTTAGTATTTATTTGGATTTAAAGAAAGCCTTTCACACTAATGGCCACACTATTCTTCTTGAAAAGCTGAATGGGGTCCAGCACTGCGGTGGGTATCTAGTTATTTGAAAAACAGGAAACAGTTTGTACAAATAAATGATGTAAGATCTGAACTGTAATATTAAATATGGAGTTCCCCAGGGTTCTGTACTTGGACCGATGTTTTTTTAATATGTGAATGGCTTGGTAAATGTGTCAGGGCTTTCTAAATTTGTATTATTTGCAGATGATACTACATTTCTTTGTTTGGGTAAAGATATAGAACAGATGTTGGAAATGATGCAGGCAAAATTTATAAAAATARAAACTTAGTTTCAACTTAATAAATTATCATTAAATTTGGATAAAACTAATTATATGATATTCAGTAATAGAAAATGAACTACTGACGCTCCATTTAGAGTTGACAGTGTTGAGATTTGTAGAGTTAGTGATAAAAAGTAAAGCAGGCTTTTTTGTGACAGGAAATAAAACAGGAAATAGGCTAACGTGCAAAAATAATGAGGGAAATTATACAAAGCAAGAGCAGCTTTGCTTTGATTTTAAATATTGTTTACTCAAACTCAACTTGTAGCACGCTAACATCCATTTCTGATGGTGGAACTTGAAAAACGAATAGAATCACTGAGAGGAAGAAACATAAGAACTACAGTTGTTTAATAAAATACTTGTGTTCATCAGAAAAACTGAAACCTTTTTATATTGTTTTTTCAACACTGGGATCTGAAACTGAAAGGAAAGAATGAAGGAAGGAAGATGTTAAGCCTTTGCAGCACAACAAACTGTTTGATGAGTWAAGTATCAACTTAAAACAAATGACATGAGGTGGTTTTCATGAATATTTTATTAACTTGTGACTYATGACAAAGAAAAACAGAAAGCAACGCTACAGAACAAACGGTGAGAGAAGACAGACAGTAAGACACAATCATGATGAAAAATAAAAGGACTGTTTGTAAAGTTACAGCTTGCGTGAACGTAAATGTAASAAAACAAAAATAGAGCAAATGTCCTTAATCGTATTCTCTCTGCCATTTGATTTATTTAATTTGCAGTGAATTTATTATCACATTCTGCAAAATTAAGATATTTTCTGTTGGTCAGTTTGAAGTCTAACGAAGAAATATATTTCAGACCTGATTAACTGCATGTGTGCATGACAAAAAGGTTAAACTACTCTCTTTAATGTTTTATTTATTGGTTGTTGTTTTTTTTTTTGCTTATCACTATTTTATTTTACTTGATTTGGACATTTAACTTAAATCTAATGTCCTGTGCTCAAGTTTTACCTTCACTTTCTCACATTCCCATTGTTGTATTTTGAAACAAAGCCAAATAAAAAGCAACTGTTGTGATAAAAGTWATGATAAAAGCAACTTAAAAGCGTAAATTAAAATAGCCTAACTTTATAATCAGGACAAAAGTAACCTGACATATTAATGAAAAGCCTCATCTTGATTCTGTTAATCCCTGAACATTTTGTTTTTGCGTTCATTTGTTAGGAGGACGAGGGGGGGCCTCRTTGCCCTGCTTGCTGAGTTTGCTCATGACCTGTGTGATGTCAACTGGGGCGTTGGCGGCCATCTTGGCCCGTTGCTCTTGCTCCTGTTGCCGGATGACGATGGGGCTGAGACTGGGCCGTCTGTTCCTGGCGTTCTGCTCCAACTGCGAATCACTGCAGAGAAAGAAACAATGTGTTTTTTTTAATCTTTTCTCAGATTTCGCAGGGAATAAAATTTAAAGCTAGCCTTAATCTAAGTAAGTAACAAACACTTGAAAGCTGCCTCTCACTTGAATTTGTGCTCCTCAGGGTTGATGGCCTTCTTCATCGTWTCCTTAAACACTGGAGATTTCAGGTACCGACCGTAAGAGTCCTGCAAAATAAATGTGACAATCTTGTGAAGCAGAAGTTTTTATAWAAAAAAAACAAGTAAAACACAAGCTCCAAATATMATTGTGATGAGTTACCTTCTTCATTAGCATGTAGATGTGAGTCTGTGCTGCATCCAGAACGTATCTGTGTGGATGTTTCAGCCCCTTCACAGTGACTTCCATTGTCTTTCCATCYATATTGATCCATCTCGGTGCACCACGAGCCAAGAACGTCCTGGAAATAATTGAAAAAGTAAATAAGAGAGGCCTTAAAATGAACGTGCACTCGTAATGAGTTCAAATATTAATTTTTTGTATCAAATTTGGGGTAATATATTCAGATTAATTAGGACAAACAAGCATGTTCCATAAAAAGAGCATTACTTGTAAATCTGCTCCGCTTTCTCCTTCATAGTTGCAGCAGTGCCCCACTTCAAATCCTCACAACCTTCCCAGAATGCCAGGTTCTCACCTAAAAAAAAAAAAGAATTGACTAGAAAAATGCTTTCATGAGGTTCCGAGAGCTGATTTTCTTTTCACCCTTTAATTAAAACRCCACCAGCTTACCGCTGAATTCTTTTTTCAGGAAGAGTCTGAAATCGTCTCGTCCTCGAGGGTCTGAGAGCAGCTCCTTAAAGCTGAGCGTCCACCMCTCCACGCGCATCTTCGACGGTATTTCCACACTGCCACAGACACAGATATRATTAGAAATTTAAGAGAGGTCAGATTTAAGCGAGARTCTTGGCTGACTCACTTTGACATATTCAGGGACCAGTATGTTGTATCATCTGTGAGCCAGGGGTTGCTGGGAAGACACTTGGACAGAAAAGGGTCGTGGCCACTATAGGTGGCACAGTGTTTCACCAATCTGCAGGAAATAAGAAATAAAAATAAAAAATCTGCATCCGAAACAAGTCATCAAAAGGTCCTGATGCATCTCAGTAATCCAGGTAAAATATCAAAAGGAAAAAAATTGTATAGGTCTTCTGGACGGGTTCTTCTCTAATGAAACGTTTCGTCTCTCCTCCAAGAGACTTCTTCAGTCTGAGAGTT